TTATAGATTCAATTAAGGGATTTACAATAATTTATTTCATTTTGTTAGTATTTCGGGTAATTTTGACACCTAAGTAGGTTACAACATATTTGACAGAAATGTCACATATTCTAGGACTCACTGCATCTTTAAGTGCTAAAAATTCACATTTTGCAATATTCAATACCAAACCTGGCACTTGAGAGTATTGATCTACTGTATGTAGGGCTACTGGAACCTGATTTTCATTTCTCAAAAACAGGGTTGTATCGTCGGCTAAATAGGAAATCTAAACCTCTTTATCACATACAACAATTCCTTCAAATTTACTCTTGGTGATCATTGAACAAAGAATTTGTGATACTAACAGGAATACAAATGGTGATGCTGGACAGCCCTGACGAATCCCTCTATGAATATCAAATCTAGGTGAGGATCCATGGGAAAGTTTAACACAACTATTACCACCATAATAAAGAGTTTTAATTGCGTTGATACATTTTTTGAGCAAATTTGAAATTGTGCACTGTATCAAAAATAAACTCATGACGAACAGTATCAAACGCTTTATTGAAATCCCAAAATAGAATAACTGGATTGTCATCTAATAAATCACTATGTTCCATTAAGTCCAGTACCAGCCTGATATTGTTAAAAATATGACACCCTTTCAAAAATCCAGATTGCACTCATTAATCAAACTACAAAGACCATTTTTTAAGCGTTTTGCTAGAATGGAAGATAGTATCTGATAGTCGTTGTTTCAGAGTGTAATTGGGTGCCAATTATCAATAAATAATGTATCCTTATGTGGTTTAGGGATAAGAGTTATAACACCTTGTTTCAATGAGGCTGTTAGCTCTCCCTTTTCTATAGCCTCCTTATATGTGGCAAGCAAGAATTTTGCTATGAGATCCCCAAAAGTTTGATATAATTCAGAGGTTACCCCATCACTACCAGGGGATTTGTTCTTTTTTAACTGTGTGATACCATATTTGATCTTCTCTATGGTGAACTCTTCACAGCAAACTTGATTGAATTTCTCATCAACAGAATTGCCACCAGGAATGGAGCTGAATACTTGATTTGAGTTAATCAGGCCTGAGTCAAATGAGTACAAATTCTTATAAAAGTTTGCATTGAAGTCTGATATTGATATATTATCCTTAGTGACTGCCATCAATGTTGAGTCTCCTAACCATATTCAGTTCACCTCTTCTCTTTTCCAAACTAAAGAAATACCAGTTGTTCTTTTCACCCTTTTCTAACCACTGTTTTCTAGATCTTATAAAGGCACCTCTAGCTTTATCCTCATACATTTTATCCAATTGATTTTGCAAAGAATTAAGTTGAGCCTTATCATCAATATCATAATTATATTTTTCTGTGTTATCAGTTTATTTAGTTAATTTCACTATCTGTGCTCTTCTTGTTTTAGCATGCTCTTTCCCATAAGTAATGATAACCGAATGTATTCGGAACTGCAACAGTTCCCAAGATTTACCAAATTCCAATTGGGTAAGAGCTAAATTCCAATGGGTATAAATTAACCCCTGAATGACATCTTTTAGAGCTTCATTAAATAATAATGAATTATTCAATTTCCAATAGCCTCTTGTAAAACACTCACCACGGTCACTAATTATCCTCAATTTTAAAATTACAACCTTGTGATCTGGCAAAACTGCTGGCAAAATATGAACTTCAGTACTATATGGCTCAAGACTGGGGGATATCATCCATATGTCAATTCTAGACTGTAAGGAAAACTCTTTGTTACTCCAAGTAAAAAGTACTTCTGATGGATTTTTCACCTTCCAGATATCAACCAAATCTAAATTCTGACCAAAACTCAGAAGTTTGTTTACACCAACATTAGCCTATCAATTTCGTTATACATTACCATGTTTAAATCCCCACCAACAACAAGTTTTGCTGTAGGATATCTTTCCAACAAACATTTTAACCCTTTCTCAATTTCTTCCAGAAGTATATCATTTGGGGCATTTGAGCAATATCCATATATATTACACAGTATAAATTGTCTATCAGCAATATCAAAAACCATCAGTAACCAATGTCCTTTAGTGTTTGCTTTATTAACAAAAACGTTGCCTTTAAAGTTGTGTGATAGAATGGCAACCCCATCTGAATGATTAGAGCCATGCGCTAACCATATGTCACCACCCCATTGACTTTTCCAAAAAGTATTGTCTTCCGAGCATGAATGTGTCTATTGTACAAAAATAACATCCGCATCACAGTCTTTACAAAATAGTAAAAAGCTTTCCTCTTGACCAAATTGCGTATGCCTCTGCCGTTAACTGAAATCAGCTTCAAGTCCATTAAAAGTCTAATAAAATAATAGAGATAAAGTATGAACCCTCTGCAAGACCAACCTTTCCCTCTCTGGGATTAAGGAATTCAATGGTTTACAAAAACCAGAACCTCAAAACATAAGGTCTACTGCAAACTAGCTAGTTGATCAACATAGTTTTAAAAAAGTATTATCAATGAATCCTGTTTACCGCCCATATAGGCTACACATTACCTGTGAGATACCAGCTGGAAGCTGGATGATGGATGGTAGTTCAACAGGGAATGCTACCCCCTTCTTTACTAAAGAGAAGAAGAGAGAGGCCCAGCTCGGCAAAAAATGTGTCTCCCTCCAGCAGGTGGCATATTTTAGTTGTTTTGCCTACCAAGCAAGACGTTTTTGTATGGAGGTCAATGAGCGTGTCGAATTTGGTCCCCCCAAAAATGTATGGCTTATTTGCTATGTGAGGTTTATTTGATCGAATTGAAGTTTCATAATGCTTAAGTTGTTCCGATTGTACTGATATACATAGTACATGTGACATCCCGGCAACTTTGATAAAAGTTACCTTGTCCTAGAGAGATTTACACGGTTATTAAAACATCAAGCCAGGGTAAGCCTACACGAAATACAGCCATTATTTTATGTGTTTCTAAAATCCCCTATGGGAAAAATGAATGGTGGCAAAACGATTGGAACCATTTCCCTGTTTGACCGCTAGGTTTTATGGGTATTGTGACTCATACTGTGGTACTCTGTTGTTAGGGCTGAGGTACATGTATCTTGTCAGTATATCCATAATCTTTGCTACTAACGAATTGATACGCTCCTCGACCACTTATCGGTTTCCGGGTCATAGAGGAGCGAGGACGCGTTTTTGCCCAAACGAGAATCTCCCCATGATTCTCCCCTCAGAGCGATAGCAGGTGGCCATAGCAAGGTCTAAGCTCCTGTGAGTGCTGTCTCCATCGCGCTCTGAAGACGTAGAAATACAGAGCATGCGCACAGTAGCATTTGCGGTGGAGTTTCATTCATACACATAGCCTCAAAATATCAGGTTGTTGTTGTCTAATAAGGCCATCCATATTAGTTTTTTCCTATATTGATTGCCACTTATTGCGGTTTATGAGGGTCCAAGGAATATAAGCCATATAATGAAGAAACATTATGTCGACGCTAGCAGGCTACGGAAAATGAAAAAGATCAAAATTATGGAGAATATATCTGAAAGGTATGGTGAGGTGACGGTTCGACCGGATGCCGTTGCCTTTGTTGTTGCTATAGTGTAATGCGCGTCTTCGTCATTCTCACCTGCCTGGTGTCTATTTTTATCACAATAATAATAATACTCTTGGACGCTGTTAGGATATGAAAAATTGCATTGTGGTTGCTAAGTAGGCCTATAAACATTATAGTGGAGTCAATTTTAAACAGAAGGCTACTTGATGTGGATAGTTATTTGAAATATTACAGTAGCCTAGGCTAGCACAAGCGAGCTAATCGATTGTGGACTATTTTATCACCTAGGCCTACCATTGGATCCATTTTTGCAGCTTGTGCCTACATGATTTAAGCTATTTTCTCAGAATTGTAACCATTAAAATTAGGCTACAATAATGAAAATCGTGTAGGCAATTATTTTTATTTTTATATGCTCTCACTTTAATAGATAAGCCTAACGTCATTAGTGCAACCTAGCCTATTCGTGCAATATTGGATTTGCCTTCATAGACTAGTTAGGAAGCTAGCTATAGCCATTTGAAGCACTTATAGACAGCATGTCTCTAAACCAATAGATAATTCGATGTCCTCATTGTGTGACGAGACAAAGCGCTCAGGAATGTTAGAGAATTTGGCATTATTGATAACAAATACGGGTTAATAATAATAATTAGAGAATTTGGCATTATTGATAACAAATACGGGTTAATAATAATAATAATAATAATAATAATAATAATAATATGCCATTTAGCAGACGCTTTTATCCAAAGCGACTTACAGTCATGCGTGCAACACAAAGAGAGCACGAAGAGAATGCGACAGAATGAACAATAAATAACCACTTCTAAATAAATCATTATTATGCCTATTGATTTATTAGTGTAACAATTAATGGACGTTTAGCTTTTGGTACTCAGTATCGCGGATGAAACGTTGTCATGGTTACCAAACAAAAAGGGGTCGATCTAATATTAGCCTATGGATGTGGCGAGCGCACGAACAAAGGAGTTGTTGAAAACAAGACATACATGTAGAGAGAAGGGGGAGGCATTATCTTATGCATTTTGAAATGTCTATTTTCTCCAAGACGACAGCACTAGGCTATGTTCCTAAATGTAAAATAATGTCACGATTTAGTGATTAAAATATTTGCCTGATTCAGAGGAATCACTATATGAGACTTCATTGTTGCGCACATCTTTCACATAAAAGTAACTTCTTTGTCTCACAGTTGTGTGGTTTTCTGTTAGCAAGAGAAACTTTAACAGTTTGACAATATTCCTGCCAAATCCATTTTAATAACGGGCTTAGGCCTAGAGTATCATGAGAAATAAGTTATATTTAGTGCTTCCTAGTATATATCGAGATTTTTTTTCACTTTCCTTCAATCACAGATCACCAGCATGACATTTTGACCATTATTTCAATACAATTATAACACACACATTTGACATATCCTCCTCTTATGCCTGTTTTGCAGCGCTTATACCTTTCTGAAGTTTATAATCGGGTGGACTCTGGTGCTCCTAGCAGATTTTATACTGGAGTTTCGATTGGAGTACCTGTGGCCCTGCTGGCTATTCTTCAGGAGCGTCTACACCACTTTCCACTGCCATGGGCTGGTGAGGACTTTATCAGTTCGGCTGTGTCCAAATGTCACCCTATTCCCAATATAGTGCACTACTTTTGACCAGAACCCTACTGTTGACCATAGGGCTCTGGTCATATGTAGTGCACTATACTATAGGGAATAAGGTGCCATTTGGGACACAAACCTACTCTTTAATGGTCTTCTAGACTAGAGTCAATAGCAATAAGGTATTGAGATCAAGATATTGTTGAAAATAGTTATAGGCCTTGCAACCTGTTATAAATGCTATAAACCTGTTATATACCAAAACTAATTGTCTTCTTGTTCGAAACTCAAGCAATGAATCCAGACAGAATTAAATTATCTTTCCAACATAACACCAACGTAATGCACTGTCTCTCTGTTGCAGATTATTTGTGTGCTGTTTGTGTGTGCGGCGTTCACCCTGGACATCTTTTGTTTAGTTTTTGTTCCCCTCCACTGGTTGTTCTTCGCAGCCAGCACCTATGTCTTATTCAATTACATTTGTCACACAGGTAGGTGTGTCAAACCTGTTTTACAGTAAAAAAAAAAGTAGCTATTGTATTGCCTAGCTGTGGAATTCCTTAGATAAGGATAATGTGGAATGTTATTTAATTGTTGTCTAACAACTCACATTTTCTGTAACGGGTTGAAACAAACCATTCCGTTAATGGGGTGAAACCTTCCATTACGTACATTTTCGAAATTTCGAAATCTGCAATATATAATTTACGAGAATTGACCTAATGGAAGGTTTTAACCAGTTACAGAGAACTGTAAGCATATTATCAGCTGATAGGCCTACAGGTTTTGTTTGTAAAAGCACAGTTTTGGTGGTAGCTACAGTATAATCACATGCTTTGTATTTTCTCTTGGTAATACAATGTTTTTTTGTAATAATAAATTATTTCTTCCTCTTAGAGAAAGGCATCTGTATGTCGACGGTGTCCCTGTGGGTGCTGCTGGTGTACACAGAGGTTTCGCTCAGGCTCAAAGATCTGATGAACTCCCACGCCAACCTGTCTCATCTCTTCGCCGCTCACTGGTGGGTCGATTGAACACTAAGCACTTCTCACCGAATAGTCTCTCTCGAGCAGAATCTTCCAAACACACCTGGTTTATACACTGTAGATCCCTTCTAAATGCCTGCTCACGATGCAAGGATTTTCACACCACTTGAATTTAGTGGATTTAAGAGTGTCTTGCGTCGAATTGAATCACAAATCGTAGATCTCGTTGTATACTTTGGTTGTGCACGTGTTTGTCATGACACACTACTCACAAAGCATTTTGAAATACATGTAGGCCATTATTTATAACAATAATTGTTTATATGGGAAACTGCCAAAGAGATGCTGTATTACACATGTGTTTGATTGATTGGAGCCTAGGTGATCATGCACTTGCATTGTGAATATTTAGCCCACATTTCTCACACCTGATTATCTCTCCGCTCCCCCCCCCCCCCCCTCTCTCTCTCTCTCCCCCTTCCTATATCTCTCTCCTCCTCTGCCCCTCCCCTCTCTCTCTCTCTTTCTCTCTCTCTCTCCCCCTCAGCATTGGCTATCCTGTTGTCTATCTGGGGTTCGACGCCACCTGCTACTTCACCAGCATCTTCAAGCTGCGCACGCAGAAAGCTGTGCAGAGCGAGAATGACTTCCACATGCACCTCCTGCAACAGTCCCTACCTCCGGGCCTGCAGCTTTACCCCAAGAGCATCACTGACGGCAACGGCAGTAAGTACAGGGGAGGATGTGCCTGCTACTTATTCACTTCTGCACTGTTTTACACAAACTGTTATGACATGATTCCTGATCGATAGTAGTACTTTGTTGGGTTGATTGAATGGGTAAGGCAGTTGGTTTTAGGTTAGACCCTTTAGATATAGGTAAATGGCGAGCCCAGGGCCCAAATTCACAAACCCTACTAGCCCTGGTCAAAAGTAGTGCACTACATATGGAATATGGTTCCATTTGGGACGCAGATAGTGCCAAGGGAGGATATAATTAGTTAATGTGCCACTTTAATGTCCCTATGCGTGCAGGAAGCAGAGAAATGTTACATCTCACTTTGAGTCCAATAGACGGGTTGGTTGTTTAGCAACAAAACTATGGGGCAAAACAGACGGGGTTGGCTTATATTGTTGACAACATGTAAACTATATTTAGTCCGCAAATGTTTATTGAAAACATAAATGCATTTCCACAATGAGCACTTGTTGTCTCTCAAATACATCGCTACTGTTGTTGGTTAGCTAGCTAGAGAATTTGAGCCATATTAGCATAGACATGAAATCAGTCAAAACACCACAAAACAAGACATGGTATCAAGAACAAGATAAAACTAGCTTAAACGAGCCTCCTATTATTCCCCACATGGCAGCTCTCGTCATTGTTGTTAGCTATCTGACTGTTCAGAATCACAAACTAGCACGGCTTCCGGCCACATCGATGCGTGCACATCATTTTCGTGATGTTGTCAGCCAACCCGTCTGAACTCTATAGCAAGATATTGTCTTTGAAATATAGCCCTTTTTTCCCCTGCAGACTCAAAGTGGAGGCCCAAACCTGAGTCTAGCCAGTACCAGTGTCAGAACGGTGCTCTGGCGTCTGATGAGAGACTCACCTTGGACTGCCTCCAGATCCACAGCGAGGAGGAGCAGGGAGGGGCTGAGAGGGGTGTGGAGGAGACAAAGCTGGGACACTCAAACCCCCAGCCGCCTCTGTCTTCCAAACCCAGAGACCCCCCCACCGACAGGGGGGCAGGAGGAGGGTCGATGGAGTCCTCATCCTCCCCCAAAAATCAGCCTCAGGAGGAGCAAGGCGGCAAAGTCCCCCGGGCCGCCAAAGGCTCTTCCTGCTCCCCCAAAGCATGCAGGACATCCCCCGGCGCCGCCTCCAACATCCTTTCGCCTCCTCCTCCCACTGGCAGGGCTGACAGGAAGCAGAAGAACGGCTCCAAAACGGTCAGCCCCAATCGGGACGCCGCAGACAAGGGCCCCGCCGCTCCCAATCCGAATCCTCACGCTGACCAGATCACTAAGTAGAGACACTCTGCCACCGTTCACTTTGGTTTCATTAGCTTTGGAGACATACAGAGAGTATGAGTGTATTACTTAATCACCTCTCTCCCCCTCTCTCTTCTACCTCTCTAAACTACCCCCTTCTCCCTCCCCCTCTCCCTGTCCCCCAGGCTGGAGCAGGAGATGAAAAGTCTGAAGGGCGAGCTGCAGGCCAGCAGACAGAGTGAGCAGGAGTTGCACAGCCACATCTGCAACCTGACCAACAGTGAGCGCAGCCTGAGGCCTGAGGTGTCCCTGCTCAGGCAGAACAACGAGCTGCTCCACAGCAAGTGAGTGATAAGTTAGCATTTTATTGTCTGTTTTATCAGAAATGTACCTTGCATTGTAAAGTGGGCCTAGTGCCACTGCTTTTGGCTCCCCCTGCTGGTTACACATATGCACTGACACTCTTTGTTTCGATCGTTATGTCATGTGGTCATCCCCCTCCACATATTTCACAATTTTATTCTGTATTTCACTCAACACAGTTTAGCACAGCACAACAAGAATATGTGGAGTAGTATGCTGATACAATAATATGATTATACAAAATTAAATAACTAAATGACTATCCATGTTAAGTGCTACAGAAACCCTTTTCACGTTTTGAAGCTTCTAACCAATTTACTGGGAATGGAAAGTATTGATTCACATACACCAAGGCTGCGCCTGAAATGCCACTTTATTGGGCCCATATGGCTCTGGTCAAAAGTAGTGCACTATGTAGGGAAAAGGGTGCCATTTGGCATGCATTCCAAGTACTCTCGATACTGGGGTCTCCATTTAGTTTAGAACATTGTGGTTGGATTCTGTGTTTCAGGATCTTGTGTCTGACCAAGACCAGGCAGAAAGACAAGCAGACCAGCGCTGTGCTGGAGAAGAAGACCAAAGCAGAGACAGAGGCCAGGCTCTTTATAGAGAAAAAGCTGGCCGAACTCCAGGCTCACAAACTAGAGGAGGTGGCCATCTTAGCGCATAGTAGTCTACCAAACAGGTATGGCACTCACTTTCTCACCTTCGGCCATTTTGTATTCAAATGTATGTATGACTTGTATGTTACGTAACAACCATTACCCTCAGAGGCTATTGAGGCTGCATCTCAAATGGCACCCTATTCCCTATGTAGTTCACTACTTTTGAGCAAGGCTCATAGGACTCTGGTCAAAAGTAGTGCACAATATATACGTGTAAATATGAGTCTATACTCCAGATCATGCCTAATTTCACCATCACTTGCTTTCTTTATTTGCTGTACTATTAACTTGCTTTTCATTGCAGCCTGTAGCAACAGTCATTTAAGTAAAAAAAAACTAAAACAATTAGTGAACTATAATATTTGGTTAAAACCCACAAAAATAGAGATGGATTTCAAGATGCCCCCTTGCTGTTGATGATGTGTCATGTTTCTTACTCTGCGAACTACCCCTCCCAACCCCCCAAATAAGTGGCACCTCTCTGACGACCTGCTCAAAACAAGCCTGTACTATTCTCTGTATCTCCCACCACACTAGGCAGGAATACTCTGAGACCCTAATGTTAAGGAAAAAAGCAAAAGATCTAGAGACAGATTACAAACAACTGCAGCTGGAGAGTCAAGGGAAAGAAGGGCGTGTGATAGCTCTAGAGAATCAAGTGGAGGTAAAAAAAATTAAAAAATACTACTCTTTCACATGAGTGGGTTCCATACGAATGTACGTGTCGAGTTTGTACGTTTTGACTTCTTGCACTTGTGTACGGTGCTCGTTGTTGAAGTGATACTCCGTTGTCTTGTTTTGGATATGCCGTTTTGTAGACGTGTGGTTTGTTGCGTGTGACTATTATGTGTGTAATTATTTGTGTTTGTGGATTTGAATAGCAGGAAATTGTTTGGTCCAGTGATTTGAGGACTTTTGGATCATCTGTTTTTTGTGTGTTTTGGCCTGAACTCAACGTACTGTAACGTGGGCACTTTGTAATTGCATTCATCGATACTGTATGCTAATTGTATTTGTTTCACATATATTTGATATTTTGTCATCTGTGATATTGTTTTCTTGTGGTGACATACTCCATGAAGCATGCAGACATTGCAGAGGCAGAAGCCAAGTCTTTCATAAAACATTGTTGTTATGTGGTGCATTGGTTCCCTAACTGGGGAAATTGTGTTTCTAATGAGGGCGTTACAATTCTTCAGCACACAAAAAGCAGTATAACTATAAAACAAAAAAAATGTGTGTTTGGGGAGTACCTTAGAATGACTGCACCACCAGGGTCATGTTCAGTAGGGCACACGTTTTAAAACAGAAAAACAACAATTTCTTATTGGAAAACTCCAGGTAGAACCACCCTGTTTCACTCAGTTCCAAACCGTTTTTCTCCTGTTTAGTGCCTACTGAACTCCACACAACTAGTCCATGCTCCTCTGTTAGCCTGGAATCCACACTGAATTCACTACGTTTCACCATCGTTTCACTTCAGAACAATGTAGCAAAATGTAGCAAAATCCATGTAGGTGCCTGCCAGGCTCCTACTGTGTGCCCCTGGGGCTATTTCGAGTGTCTCTCTCCCTGCTCTCATCCCAGGCCCTGGGGAAGTATCGTTGTATGGAGCAGGAGGATCAGGACATGCTGTTCTCCGCCCTGTCGACCCTGCAGCAGAAGGCTCAGCGTCTGGAGTACAACCTGAGTGCTGAGACGCGGATCAAACTGGACCTGTTCTCAGCCCTGGGAGATGCCCGCAGGCAGCTGGAGATAGCACAAGGTCCCCCTTCCCCTCCCCACACTCACTGTTTATTGGGACAATTGACACATTTGTTGTTTTTGGCTCTGTACACCTGCACTTTGGATTTGAAATGATACAATGACTATGAGGGTAAAGTGCAGACTGTCAGCTTTAATTTGAGGGTATTTCCATTCATATCGGGTCAACCGTTTAGAAATTACAGCACTTCTTGTACATAGTCCCCCAATTTTTGGGGACCAAAAATTATTGGGACAAATTCACTTGTATGTGTATTAAAGTAGTCAAAAGATTAGTATTTGGGCCCATATTCCTAGTACGCAATGATTACATCAAGCTTGTGACATCAAGCTTGTTTTGGTTGTGTTTCAGATTATTTTGTGCTGTAATTTCTAAACGGTTCACCCGATATGGATGAAAATAACCTCAAAACAAAGCTGACAGTCTGCACTTTAACCTCATAGTCAATGTATAATTTCAAATCCAAAGTACTGGAGTACAGTGCCAAAACAAACAACAAAATGTCTCTATCCCAATACTTTTGGAGCTCACTGTAGCTCTATAGAAATGTGTTATAGCTCTAACATTGTGTTAAAGCTCTATAAAGCATTGATTTAGCCGATTGCCAACTTGAGATCTGTGCATGTAGCTTGAACATTTGCGTAAATCGTCTATTAATATCAATGGGAGATTTGCGTGAATGTTCCAGTTATGCGCCCGGTTCTTATGTGAGGATTCGGCACTGTGTGCAGTAAGGAGAGTTTTTCTTTCATTTTACTATTTTTTACATTGTAAAATGGTGAAAACATCAAAACTATGAAATAACACATATGGAGTAACCAAAAAAAGTGTTAAACAAATCAAATAGCCACCCTTTGCCTTGATGACAGTAAAAATAAAGAAAAACCCTTGAATGAGTAGGCGTTCTAAAACTTTTGACCGGTAGTGTAAATCATTTGGGTTATTTTTTGTATCTAAGTCTCATCTGTTGCATATCGTATCTCTGCATCTACTTCTGTCCCGCAGGAAAAGTAATGAAGCAGGAGAAGGAGATCAGCGACATGAAACAGAAGATCGCAGAGTTCATGGCTGTCAGTCCTGGCATGTCCTTCATGATGCCGCGGCCCAACGCGCCGCAGTACCTCACCAAGTTCCTCAACTCGGAGCGCTACGTGCTCAACCGACGGGCGCTGATGTACCAGTGTCTTAAGAAATGAGAGCCTTTATCACGGCCTGTCGAAAAACATACAGTAGACCATCTTTGGCCTTCTCTTGAGCAGTGCTCTGTCTGTGCGCACAAGAGGCTTCCTGGATGTGGCGATGATGTCACAGTGCTCAAAGACATTCTCAGTCTCAAGGCTTTGTATACAGTAGTTCTCAATAAAACATGAACTGTCTTTGACAATTACCTTCTCAGTTAGCCTCCATAAATCATAGGCGAGATGAGAAAGAAAATGCCCTTGGATGCTTCCCAGGTGCTAAATATTCCTCAGTCTTTCCTCTCTGAAGTATTTGAGTTCAGAGGACTTGTGAGGTTACCGATGCCGCCGGTGATTTGTTGATGTAACATTGCGTTCCCTTTGCTACAGTAAATATGACAACATTTCATAGGTGCTTGTCCGTTAGGACACTATTGACCGTGTAATGTTTGGGTCGAGCATGATAATGTTGGAAGAGATTGGGCTGTCTGAGCACACTTTTCCTTATGTCGTTGTTTTCGGTTTCTCTCCTATTAATTTGCCTTATGTTGACAGGCAACGATTATTCAATGCATGTATTGCCAGTGGACAAACCCCTGGCTCCTTTGGGCAGTGTCCCTTCTTCTAAACAAAAGATCAGTCCACACCAGACCTGGATTCAAATACTATTTGAAATCATTTCAAATACTTTATCTGGGCTTGATTGAGCTTGCCTGGTACAATGGAACCAACAGACTAGTCACAAGAGTTAAAACCCGGATCATCTAGCATTCCAGACAGACTAAAGCAAACGCTAAAGTATTTCAAAGATTTCAAATATTGGTTGAAACCACTGTACCATTTACCAGTCATGTTGAGTAATCTATAAGTGTTTTTCATAGTGAAAATGTATATTGTCTATAAATGACTGTAGCTGGTAAGTTGGGCAGCGTTGTGAATAACATGGGCATAACATGGAATTTTGTGGACCAAAAATTGTGGGGCAGATGTGCAAAATTACCAGCAAATTGTATTTGTGCATTTACACAAACACACAATGTAAAGAATTGAAAACACAACCCAAAGTGTTTTTGTAAAATGATGAACACTAATGAAGTAGATGTTACCGTTTTTGGTCTCTTTTTGTTAGATTTAGTGTTTTCTATCAAAACAATATTTTTAAGCTTGATGTACTTTTCACATGAAAGTTGACTGCTTTAATTTGGTAAGTCAATGTATTTGTCAGCATGACCTTTTGTATGTGAGTAATACAGTACTATTTATTTGGGCACAATGTCATTTGTGACTAAAGATTGTGCAGTACATTACATAAATACTAGTTCAAGGGCTCCAGTTTTTACAATTCTGATGAAACAGATGATAATAAAAATGTTTTTACCAGTTACCACTGAACTTGCTTTTACTTAAGTTTTTCTTAAGAATGAATTGAGCTTTGCAGAAAAACCTGAATGAAGGTCTATTGAGACAAACGGTTATAAGATCCATTCCATCATGATCACCAGTTTGCTGGAGTTTATTTTCCTTTGAACGTCATTTCTCCATGCACTTTAATAGGGTAGTTGTGAGAGCAGGGTTGGGGTCAATTCCATTTCAATTCAGGATGTAAACGTACAATTCCAATACCACATTTTATAAGAACAATTTGGAATTGGAATTTCAGTTTACTTCCTGAACTGACTGAATTTAGTTGGAATTGACCCTAAGCCTGTTCGCAAGTCATACTTCTATATATTCTTTTTAGCAGAGAAATTCAAAGGAAACACTACAGAAATACACAGAATCTAAGTAAACAGAAACCAGAAGGGAGACAAGCAAGCAGAGGTATTGAAGTGCTAGGTGTCATGTTTATTTCAGGAAGGGGAATTAAAAAAGAGGAGAAAGGTTTTGCAGAAGTGGATACAGCATTATGTCCAGCATGACGTACACTATACAAGATGGATACCAACCCATGTATCAGACAACCTTATTCCTGTAAAGGAATACAGACACATTGATGATAGACTGATTCCTGCAACCCACCACTTACTGGAACATTCTACGACCGCTTACCAGACCCACACCCCTCCCCTAACACACGCAAATCTGTCCGTTGCTGGTCTAAATCATACAGAAGCCGTAGTAGCTACAGCATTGAAAAGTTTAGTTAAAACAACAAAAACAATACAGTAGTGTAAACTAGCAGCAAGTTAGCTTTCTGGACAGATACGCGTTTGGTGACTTCTAAGCCTATTCTCTGGCAGCTATGATTTCAAGCAGAATGTGTGCTTTCAGCAGAGTAGAGCATCAATGAGACAAAGTCCCGTAACTCCGACACTGATATATGTTATGACAATAAGATAACATACTAGCCTTCCGCCACACCATCTTTGTCGTTTTAGTTTCTGTATAATGGGGTGATGTGATAGGAATGCAATTAGGGAGTGATATAATTTCACTTTTGCAGCCAGTTTAGTTGAAGGTATACAGAGTGCATGCATGTATTCACTACACGTTATGAGTCAATACATTTGTTAAGGAATGTAGACTATTGAGGTTTTTGTTTGATAAGCCAATAGTCTTAAAGTGTAAACCAGAGGTCCTTACACGGATACTGTTTCATTGTGTGTGAAATGGCAACAAAACATGATGAAAATGTACCACTACTTCCCACCATTTGCTAAATAAAACATTACAGCAAGAAACAGACGACAGTCGAGTGACAAAGTTCACTTTCTTAGAATGATTGGAAGTGATAAAGCAACAAAATGTGTATGTGGACCCAAGGAATACTAGCTGCTGGGTATGCAACAGCTTATGAAGATTCGAATCAACTAAACATTCACTAAAAAGAACCAAACCGCTTCGTGCTGAAAGTGAAATACACACTCATGATAGACCGTACTGATAAATAAAACTCGTATTATAGTCACAACATTCAGACTGCAATCGTCTCTCCCTCTCACCACCTGAGCACAGGTCGATTGGGTAAATGTGTCATAACTACAGCCACAGTTACATATTCTGATAATACAAAAGAAAGCGTAAGGGGGAAAAAACGCTTGACACTCGCATCTTCTGATGCATTAAAGAGCCATGTCCAATCAATACCGGAGGAAGAGGCCACATTCGTCCTACATACAGCACCATGTACAGTATATGTAGACCGGAGTAAGCGAGACAGAAGATATTTTTGATGGCATACCGACTGAAAACGTACAGTTTTGCGTTAACTTTCAAAATACAGTTCGTAATACTTACTTAAGTGACAACCAAGTTGTTTTTTTCTTCTTTTAAAACAGAGAAGCAGATAAGTATAAGTACAAAAAGACAAAACCACCTAGTGGCAGCTATTTCCACCATAAGGTGTGAAGAGAGGCTGTGGGAAGTTGTTTTTTGGGGGGGAGCAGGCAAAGCTTTCCCACAATCCTTTGGGGTGAGCGTCAGTGAAGTCCTGTCGGATAGGACGAGGGAGGGATGAGGGAGGCGAGGGGAGAGGAGAGGGGGATGAGGCTCCTCTGTTATGAGGAGACGGTTACCGGATTCAGGAAGCCGTTCCGGTTGTAGAACGTGGAGAAGGCCTCTTCCAGAACCGAAGCGAGTCGTGGCTGGTCACCCTGGACGAGAGAAAAGGGAATTCAGGACCCCATTTGAAAAGGCAAGCAATTAGCAAATCGTCAGAATGCCTCATCCTCGACTGCTATCCACTACAAAGCACATCCCAACTAGTCATTGTGCATGTGAACTGGTCAAACTTATGGTAGCAGTCAACAAAAAATAACTTTGCCCTCTTCAGCCTGGGGCTGCAGGTGTGCTGTGAGGTCACAGGGGTCGTGACCCCTTGCCTTACCTCGCTGACGAATCCCAGCTGAACGAGCTCCACGGCCAGCTCCTGCACGTTCTCATCTGTACACACCACAGGTCAGTCAAAAGCATACAGAAAGTCGAACATCCCTGTGACCTGGCTGGTCTAGTGGTAATGCCTCAGGTACACATATCTAGTGTCGGCATAGGTTTGAATCCAGCCTACTTTCTAAACAACCTCTATCTTTCCCCATTGTCATTCTCCTTCTACCCATTTAATAAAATGAGAAAAGACCTTTAGAAAAGTACAACATCCCTCTCTACGTTTATATAAATACAGCATGCAAAATATAGCTCTGTATACCACCAAATCAACTTTAGCATGGACTAAGCGCATGTGTGGATACTTACTTGGTAACAAATCGCAACTTAAGTGCCTATTCAACTTATCCTCAAGTTTCAGCAATAGTGTAAGCTGGAAAAAGAAGCAAAAGAATATGAATTTTTAAAAGAGGTTTGGGATGTTTGTCAGAAAATAGAGCTCTTAACCGAACAAAGACAGGCCTCATGTCTTACCCCTGGTCGTATTCACAAAGTGTCTCAAGAGTAGGAGGGCTGGTCTAGGATTGGTTTAGCCTAATAATTAATAAGATCACACTCCTACTCAGAGACGCTTTGTGAATAAGGGCCATTGAGAGCAGAGTCATTTTTCCAAACAAATCAGATTTTATGGTTGGCTATAATATAAGGTAGTAGCCCACACTGCGAAAATGAGACATAAGACTTACGTGATGTTTGGCCCCCTCGTCAACAGGCTCAATGTTGCACTGCATCTGTAGGACCTGGGCAGAAATTAGAGATGTGTTGTCCAAAGCTAGCAAACTCAAACAGTAGACAACATACACTGAGTATACAAAACATTTCCACGCTCTTTCCATGACATAGACTGACCAGGTGAAAGCTATGATCCCTTATTGATGTCACTTGTTAAATCCACTTCAATTCATTAGTGTTGATGAAGGAGAGGAGACAGGTTAAAGAAGGATATTTAAGCCTTGAGACATGGATTGTGTATGTGTGCCATTCAGAGGGTGAATGGGCAAGAAAATATTTAAGTGCCTTTGAACACGTTATAGTAGCACCTGTTTGTGTCAAGAACTGCAACGCTGCTGGGTTTTTCACACTCAACAGTTTCCCGTGTGTATCAAAAATGGTCCACCGCCCAGAGGACGTCCAGCATTGGAGTCAATATGGGCCAGCAAGTGACGAGCTTTCGGACAGGTAAAATAAGTGTCCTACAAGTGGCTAAAAAATGTCAAGCCATGTCCTCAATTCCTCCATCCATCCCTATTTTCCCTGTCCAGTGTGCCTTAAAATCCATCCCTGTACTCCTCCCTCCCATCCTCCTTTAGGTCTTACCTTCCTGGTCTCCAGCTCTGCAGGCTCAGGGGTGGGGGTTTTGACTGAGGGGGGTACTATGGGGGACTTCACTGCTTCCTGCTCGGGCTGCTTGGGGCCGGGCACCCCAAACGCTGTCAGAGGGTAGATACCATTCCTGACACATCAGAGAGGGGGGCTGAGTTAGACTTCTCACACATACACACACACACACACACACACACACACACATACACACACAACCTCTACAGATACACCCACACAAATGAGCACTGACTGGCATGCATGCTTACGTGCGCACCAGGGTTTCCTTTAGGAAAATGTGGCACCGGACATTTGACCGGTAGCATTTTAAAATTTACAGGATGTATAAGACATATGGTTGCGTAACCTGATTAGGGCGTCCACCCACGGTTCTCAGAATGACAGAAATCACATTTAGTTTATGGTCATACATCTTAACAGAACATGCAACTCGGATGCAATGGTGTGCGTCATTCTGACCCGAATTTCAATGAGCAATTTGAAGATGTTAGACTACATAGGCGGCGCATCCATACGGTTAGGGGAAACTAAGCTTTCCCTAAAGTAAATTTAATTAAATAGCCTAATTAGCTTAGTCCTATCTACACAGAAATGAAATTATAAAGAAATTACTCCAGAAAGCATGATTTGGCCACAGAGGATCATTAGCTTAAAAAATAAATAAAGCTGTGGATTGTTTTAAATCACATAGCCTATAGTCAGACGGGCCCGCAATTTGGGCAGAGCGCGCAGCAAATTCCAAATAGATGATTGTTGAGTTGTGACTGTCAGTAAAAACCAGAGAGACCCAGCTATGGCTATTGCTGTAAAGAGAAGACAATGAAGAGACTCCAATCTGTCTTTTAGTTATCAAAATTCTCAACTTAAGAGCGAAAACTAGCCTATCTTATTGGCACCAGTGGAGAACGTCGGTCATATCCCCGGTGAGTGTGCATATTCACTGTCTTTATCATTGGGTCAGTGCCACTTTTGTTTTGTTTTGGACAGGTTAGATGGACATCGTAGGCCTAATATATGGACCAGATGTCGTCATTTTTATTGATCTGTTCGTCAGTGTCGGCAGAGTAGGCTAGCTACCCTGTAATTTTTGTCGCATTAAAAAGATTCTGCTAATATCTCCAGTCATATAAAGTGCAGTAGAATTGCATGAAATGTGTTTATAAAAGGCCAACATTTTCCTGTGCAAAGACTAATCGAGTAAGCGCTGCACTGAACAGTCTTTTTTGCAAACAGTGATTCAGTTATATTATTAGCCTAAATTATGACTATCCAATCTATTCATCATCTTAGGAATAGATGCCTTTCTTACGTAAGTCTGCAAATGCGAGGATGCAGGGACTGCTTTATTATAAAGGTGCATTTCTATGGTGAAGATTAGCTTCCCCAAACTAGAAAAACCCACTTTCCACCTATGCTAGAATAACTGCCCACATGTACTTTTCCTCAGCCAACCGAGTACTGAACAGCAAAATCACAACATATAAAGTGTTGGTCCCATGTTTCATGAGCTGAAATAAAAGATCCCAGACATTTTCCATACGCACAAAAAAAATTTTTTGCTCAAATTCTGTGCACACATTTGTTTACATCCCTGTTAGTGAGCATTTCTCCTTTGCCAAGATAATCCATCCACCTGACAGGAAGCTGATTAAACAGAATGATCATTACACAGGTGCACCTTGTGCTGGGGACAATAAAAGGCCACTAAAATGTGCAGTTTTGTCACCCAACAATGCCACAGATGTCTCAAGTTGAGGGAGCGTGCTATTGGCATGATGACTGCAGGAATGTCCACCAGAGCTGTTGCCAGAGAATTTAATGTTCATTTCGCTACCATAAGCTGCCTCCAACGTCATTTTAGAGAATTTGGCAACCAAGTAGGCCTAGGCTACATCCAAAAAACTTTAAAAGCAATGAAGCTCATGCAACAGATCATAATGTTTAGCATAATATGTTGATAAACTATTATTTCTACACATTATCAGCACAGCAACGCACACAAGGCAGTAGGGTACGTGCGAATGTTCGTTCCATAAGGCAATTAGTGGGAAAACACCATTACGAACGGTTTCATGTGAGAGATCTAAATATGCAACAACTAGCATGGGTTGCTAATATGACTAGGACTGTGCCTTTGGCTACTGGACAATGAAAGAAAGTTGATTTGAAAACCAATAGAACATGAGAGAAAAGGCTACTGGTTTCAATGGCATATGGAAGGAAGTCTTTATAAAATAACGGCCTGCATGTTTGGTTGGATTTTGGCTACGCTACTTTGAAGCAAGTAAGATATGTCTCAATATGTAGTCAAATGTTCAGGTTTCAAACAATTAAGTATATATCTATTTTCAAAATGCATATTGCCTCCAACTCATTGCAAAGTGGTGTGTGACGTGCTGAAGTCTGCCTAGTTGCCTACGCACTTGAATGGCGAATGGGATGCGCGCTTCAATTACCAATTGAGAAATAAAAATAGTAGCTCTTTTAAAATCGTGGCCATTGTTCTTTATTTTTTTATTTACACACGATTGCCTTTAGAATTGTTGTGCAATGATTGGGCTTATTAAAGCACGTTTCACTACAGCAGCAACACACAGTTGTTTGAGCTGTATCAGCAGCTCTCGTGCTGTTTCCACTGGTATTTCAATCAACGAATAGGCAAAAATGCATTATTCCACAATGTGATTTTTTCTCTTCTCCTGGCAATTTTATTTATCAGTGGGGGTTTTTTGCGCCAAAAGCCAGCTGACACCCCCTAATGCAGGGGTGTCAAACTCATTCCATGGAGGGCCTACTGTCTGCTGCTTTCAATTAAGACAGGGTTTTCCAAACGCAGTCCTCGGGACCCCAAGGGATGCACCTTTTGGTTTTTGCCCTTGTACTACACAGCTGATTCAAATAATTAACTAATCATCAAGCTTTGATCATTTGATTCAGCTGTGTAGTGTTAGGACAAAAACCAAAATGAGCACCCCTTGGGGTCCCGAGGACAGAGTTTGGGAAACCAGGTGAAGGGAGGAGCAAAAACCTGCAGAAACTCGGCCCTGCATGGAATGAGTTTGACAAGTGGGCTAACGGAAACCCTGGTGTGCACTCACGCTTACACACACCCACATACACATACCCTTACCTCACATCTTCCAGGAACTTGTCCAGCTCAAGAGCAGGGAACTGGGAAAGCCTGTGGACATCAACAGATTGTTCACACACTTCAACATTAAGTGTCTCAACAAGAGACTAAACAGCAGTTGGGGAGCATGAGTTGCTTCCCTTCTCAGTTATGTGCTAGTGGAGATGGCTATACAATCAGAACGTCATCAAGGATTTTAACAGGATCATTTTAATCATTTTTTGATTCCAAGAGATCGAATAGAGAGTTGGATCTACGACTCACTTCATCTGAACGCCGTCCTTGCACTCCACAATCACCAGGTTGGGGTCCATGTTCTTCGTCATCTCCTCGAGAGCATTTTCTGGAATCATGTCTACATGACAGACGGGGAGAATCTCAATTGCATACTCCTCACGTCCTCTCTCCTTCTCAAAACCCATTGGAGGAGAAGGTCAGAGGGGAGAGACCTCTGGCTTTGTCATCCAATGGATTTTGAGAAGGAGACGAGAAGACACGAGGAGTATGCAATTGATACCTTCCCAGGGATAGCCCAATGAGAGAACACACACATTAGTTTTTTGCGTCAGTGTCAATTTGTGTGTGTGTGTGTCTTGTTACTCACACTGGTGGCTTACGATGCAGTGTGCTGACAGCAGCTTCAGCAAGGGCACCTCGAACAGGGCCTGGTGGAACAGCAGCTCTTTGGCCGTGGGGCGCTTATTGGGGTCCTGCTCCAGACACTTCTGGATGAACTCCTGCCACAGGCAAACATCACCAGTATTAAAGAGACGGTTCACTCCTGGACAACACGTATTAAAGACATGCTCCGGAACTTTGGCGACTACTAAGTATTTTTTCAACCTCCCGCTTTGGGCTGGATGTGTCAATGTGTACAGTCGTGGTCAAAAGTTTTGAGAAAGGCACAAGTATTGGTCTTCACAAAGTTTGCTGCTTCAGTGTTATGAGATATGAGATACATTAAGTTTATGCAAAGAGTCAATATTTGCAGTGTTGACCTTTCTTTTTCAAGACCTCTGCAATCTGCCCTGGCATGCTGTCAATTAACATCTGGGCCACATCCTGACTGATGGCAGCCCATTCTTGCATAATCAATGCTTGGAGTTTGTCAGAATTTGTGGGTTTTTGTTTGTCCACCCGTCTCTTGAGGATCGACCACAAGTTCTCAATGGGATTAAGGTCTGGGGAGTTTCCTGGCCTTGGACCCAAAATGTCGATATTTTGTTCCCCGAGCCACTTAGTTATCACTTTTGCCTTATGGCAAGATGCTCCATCATGCTGGAAAACGCATTGTTCGTCACCAAACTGTTCTTGGATGGTTGGGAGAAGTTGCTCTCGGAGGATGTGTTGGTACCATTCTTTATTCATGGCTGTGTTCTTAGGCAAAATTGTGAGTGAGCCCACTCCCTTGGATGAGAAGCAACCCCACACATGAATGGTCTCAGGATGCTTTACTGTTGGCATGACAAAGGACTGATGGTAGCGCTCACCTTCTCTTCTCCGGACAAGGTGTTTTCCGGATGACCCAAACAATCGGAAAGGGGATTCATCAGAGAAAATGACTTTACCCCAGTCCTCAGCAGTCCAATCCCTGTACCTTTTGCAGAATATCAGGATATCAGTCTTCATGACATTCTGGAGTATATGCAAATTGCCATCATCAAAACTGAGGCAGCAGACTTTGTGAAAATTAATATGTGTTATTCTCAAAACTTTTGACCATGACTGTAGTTCATACATTCATAATCTATGAGCAGAATTACTGTCTTACCTCAATTAGCCACCAAATCCCTAGTTTGAAAGCAAAAGTTTTTCTGGAAGCTGTGCTGCACCAATTTCCCTACATTTTCCCCCACGTGGGCCAGCCCCCTAGCAATTCGACTTCTAGCCAATGAGCTGCAGCCCCTTGTCATTTGAGTGACAGCTAGCAAGATGTACACACAGAGCGCGAGAGAGAGAGAGCAATGACATGGTGCACATATCTGCACGTGACGTAGTACGAGAGAATCTCTTTAAAGAGACTGTTCACTCCTGGATGAACTCATGCCACAAGCAAAAAGAAAGACATACAGGTGTTAGAAAAGCAGTTCACACCAAAAACTGAATTGGTGGTTTGTTCTGAACGGTATAACCCAATCCCAGTCCATAGGCTAGTCCAGCCATAAACTATAGTTATCTTAAAGGGATAGTTCTCTCCTAAGTCCAACTTTGTCAAAATGTTTTCAGAGCTCATATTTTCAAGTGACATTTGAGGGAGTTGAATTTAGGAGTGAACTATCCCTTTAAGATACACTATGGACTATACAGAACAGGGGTACTGTTATGATGACTTTTCACAGTGTTGTGGGAACAAGGTTACATTTATGAGATAAGTGATTATTGGTGCCACACAATCTGGAGGCCAATGATTCCAGTATGTCGAGGGAGTTTACTGAGGTTTATCTTAGAACGATTGATGGATATGATATACTGACTTGGGGTACAAGGTAATAACATCAAAGGAGGGAGTGCCCACTGATGGTTACCAGATATTGTTGAAGAAACGTGTAACATGACGTATATAAACTGAGAGGTTTTCTTTGTCTGGTAGTTTGAATGGCAAGAAGCGAAGCATGTGCCTTTTGTTAGACGAACCCGGTACCGAATATATTAAATATTTGTATGAACTCTAAGTGTCAAATATCTTCTTGCATCATGAATTACTTGATACCCGAGAAACTCATAACAGGTACTCAACTCTTACCCCACGAGGTCCAGAGCCTGCTGGTTTTCTGTTGTACCTGATAATTAATTGCACACACCTGGTGTCCCAGATCTAAAATCAGTCCCTGATTAGAGGGGAACAATGATAAAATGCAGGGGAACTGGCTTCGAGGTCCAGAGTTGAGTTTGAGGGATATAGACTATAGTTATGTTACGGCTGGACTGGGATTGGCTAATACCCTTCAGGACAACCCCCCAATTCTGTATTTCAATGCAACTCATCCCTTGGTTGCAGTGTGTATAATGTAGTGTCTAAGGAATCACCAACACAAACAAAACAGTTGGGTGTGTGCTGCTAGGCCAGGACCTTGACTCACCCTCTGCAGCGGGTCCTCCAGGGACTGAATGGCACTGTTGATGGCTTCTTGGGACACGTACGATGACTCGCCGTTACTCTGGATCTCCAGGACAGCCATCTAAGGATATGAGGAGGTGTGGGGAATAGAAGATTAGAAACAGGACCAGAAGAAAGACTGTTGGACTCCAAACTTCATCAAGTTGCCATGGTGCAAGGCTACAGTCACACTTCAGAACTTGATCATTTAGTCAACCTCAAACACTCTTCACTCACCTCTAAGGCGCACATTCCAAAGGAATAAATATCCACGGCAGTGGTGACGTCTACAACAGCTGTGAGAAGAAAAATACCCATGTCAATCAACGCTAGTGACATTTCTACAGACAAAAAAAAACACCTCCATTACATGGTTTCTCAAAAGAGACAAAAAGGTCAAAAGGTTACATACCTCCATACTCGGGAGCAAAGAAGTGCAGGCTCTTCTGCTCCTCCCGACAGGTCTTGACGTGGTTGTTGATGGTGTCTGGGGCCACTGTAATAGACATAGGGTTACAAAAGGGAGGGTATATTACTGGAAACTTTTCTAGTGGCTTTTTTTTAGGTACTTCAAATTATCACAGGTGTCTAATTATCCCTGGCTCTCTGTGTGGCATTATCACATGTAAAATATATAAAATAATCAAATAAGACGATTACATTTTATTTTATCGAGTGACAAAGCTGTAAAACATTATCCTAAATATAAACCATCAACTTACTGAATACCCTTGGTGTTTATTATGAGGGTTTCAGCATGAAAAAAAAAAAACTTATATTGTTTTTACACATGTATTTATTTATTTTACTATGTAGGGCTGTGACAGTAAAATTATTTTGGATGACATTAATTGGCCAGCAAAATGATGGCGGTCTCTGTAATAACCATTCGAATAGACAAAAAATTTTCCTCTCCTCTGCTTCGGACTACATGTGCCGCCAAAGATTCTAATTTCGGTGTGCTGCTGCACTTTGCTTGCGCCTTTATATGTGTGTTCGTTCGCTACAACAGTTTGCTTGTTTCAGCAAGGAGCAACACAATTTCATCACGTTGTTAAGAGTTCATGTTACCGCAGAAACGGACTCAACCACACTCAACCTGGCCGTCCAGTCTTTTTGTAAAAATGTTTAAACAGTTATGACGGTAATTGTATTTTCATGATGGTCTTCACCTATAACCGTCAGTCCCACAGTTATCCGTCATTGTGCCAGCCCTATTACTATGTCAATATATCTTAGTTGTAAATGTTTTGGCGCCAAACTGGTGGCAGTTGTGAAAAAAGTCAATAGTTGGAAGAGTTGCAGAGCCATTGTTGATTAGATGCTTTTTTCAGTAAATGTTGTTATTTTCTCTTGATCCATATGGTCTATCCACTAGAAACTCATGGACACCAATATAAAACAATTATACTATATATGAATATACACTACCAGTCAAAAGTTTGGACCCATCTACTCATTCAAGGGTTTTTTCTTTATTTTCGACATTGTAGAATAATAGTGAAGACATCAAAACTACGAAATAACACATACAGTGAGGGAAAAAAGTATTTGATCCCCTGCTGATTTTGTACGTTTGCCCACTGACAAAGAAATGATCAGTCTATAATTTTAATGGTAGGTTTATTTGAACAGTGAGAGACAGAATAACAACAAAAAAATCCAGAAAAACACATGTAAAAAATGTTAAATTGATTTCCATTTTAAATAGGGAAATAAGTAATTGACCCCCTCTCAATCAGAAAGATTTCTGGCTCCCAGGTGTCTTTTATACAGGTAACGAGATGAGATTAGGAGCACACTCTTAAAGGGAGTGCTCCTAATCTCAGCTTGTTACCTGTATAAGACACCTGTCCACAGAAGTAAGCAATCAATCAGATTCCAAACTCTCCACCATGGCCAAGACCAAAGAGCTCTCCAATGATGTCAGGGACAAGATTGTAGAACTACACAAGGCTGGAATGGGCTATAAGACCATCGCCAAGCAGCTTGGTGAGAAGGTGACAACAGTTGATGCGATTATTCTCAAATGGAAGAAACACAAAATAACTGTCAATCTCCCTCGGCCTGGGGCTCCATGCAAGATCTCACCTCGTGGATTTGCAATGATCATGAGAACTGTGAGGAATCAGCCCAGAACTACACGGGAGGATCTTGTCAATGATCTCAAGGCAGCTGGGACCATAGTCACCAAGAAAACAATTGGTAACACACTACACCGTGAAGGACTGAAATCCTGGAGCGCCCGCAAGGTCCTCTGCTCAAGAAAGCACATATACAGGGCCGTCTGAAGTATACCAATGAACATCTGAATGATTCAGAGGAGAACTGGGTGAAAGTGTTGTGGTCAGATGAGACCAAAATCGAGCTCTTTGGCATCAACTCAACCCGCCGTGTTTGGAGGAGGAGGAATGCTGCCTATGACCCCAAGAACACCATCCCCACTGTCAAACATGGAGGTGGAAACATTATGCTTTGGGGGTGTTTTTCTGCTAAGGGGACAGGACAACTTCACCGCATCAAAGGGACGATGGACGGGGCCATGTACCGTCAAATCTTGGGTGAGAACCTCCTTCCCTCAGCCAGGGCATTGAAAATGGGTTGTGGATGGGTATTCCAGCATGGCAATGACCCAAAACACACGCCCAAAGCAACAAAGGAGTGGCTCAAGAAGAAGCACATTAAGGTCCTGGAATGGCCTAGCCAGTCTCCAGACCTTAATCCCATAGAAAATCTGTGGAGGGAGCTGAAGGTTCGAGTTGCCAAACGTCAGCCTCGAAACCTTAATGACTTGGAGAAGATCTGCAAAGAGGAGTGGGACAAAATCCCTCCTGAGATGTGTGCAAACCTGGTGGCCAACTACAAGAAACGTCTGACCTCTGTGATTGCCAACAAGGGTTTTGCCACCAAGTACTAAGTCATGTTTTGCAGAGGGGTCAAATACTTATTTCCCTCATTAAAATGCAAATCAATTTATAACATTTTTGACATGCGTTTTTCTGGATTTTTTTGTTGTTATTCTGTCTCTCACTGTTCAAATAAACCTACCATTAAAATTATAGACTGATCATGTCTTTGTCAGTGGGCAAACGTACAAAATCAGCAGGGGATCAAATACTTTTTCCCCCTCACTGTATATATTAATTGTTTTAGTTAAAATTGCCATAGATTACCTGTTAATTACCAAAATTATGGTAATTTACTGGTAGCTTTGCAACCATAAATAGACAAGTGACAAATTATCCCAAAGGGAATGGGGAACTTTCAGCTTGGGACAGGCCTGGCGTCTGTTCAGTAGGGCCCATCGTCACAAAACATTTTGTAATGGATAATGAAAAATCTGTGTTCAGCCAATACTTCCCCATTTTACTCGGTTTCAAAATGTTGTCTCCCTACTGACCACGGTCTTGAAGAGACAAGAAAGTCCCTTCAGGTGCCATTTTCTGAGAAGGTTGACATTTAGTGCGATTGATGGATCGGAGGCCCACCTGAGCCAATCTTGATGAGGCCATTGTGCTGGATGAAGATGGTATCACAGGTCAGGTTGCCGTGGATGATGGGAGGGTCACAGGAGTGCAGGTAACTGGGGAGAGGAGAGAAAGGTTACAGGACACTTCAAGAGAAGTGTGAGTGTATAGACGTGTGAGAAGTGAGAGTTTTTAGAGAACAGAACTGGCTCCAGGTGCCTCAGTCTGGAAAAATAAATCCAATAAAAGTAATCTGCCGGATATGTGCAATGTGTGTGTGTGACTGACCTGAGAGCAGACAGTATCTGTGTACACCAGCGCTTCCAGGCCTGATAGAAACGTGAAGGACAACAGACAGCACAGAGATTAATAAAGCTTTGGACTACAATTTCTGACATTCAAATCTACTTGAAATGTGATTAACATATGCATGCAGTTCTTGGAAGTGTTAATACTCTAAATCAGCGTTTCCCAAACCCGGTCCTGGGGCCCCTCCTGGGTTCACATTTTGTTTTTTTGCCCTAGCACTACACAGCTGATTCAAATAACCAACTCATCATCAAGCTTAGATTATTTGACTCAGCTGTGTAGTGCTAGGGTAAAAAACAAAACGTGCACCTGGGGGGGGGGGGGGGGCAGGACCGTGTTTGGTGAAAACCTGCTCTAAATGACCAGATTAGGCTGCAATTAATCCCCTCCTCCCACTGCAGCCAACAGAAAATGGGTATTTTTAGCTGAACCATTGGAAACTAAGGCAGTACATACAGATGACATACCTTCTGTTTATAGCTTCATTTGGGTGGGTTTGGTTTCAGCCTGTCTTGGTTATATTGTAATTATTATTATTAATATTTTTTTATCAGTTCTTGAAAGGGGCAATCTGTAGTTCAAACAAAGCCAACACACCGCCACTGTTTCGGTAAACAGCTGAGGGACGGGGCTGTTGTAAAACAAGCTTATATTTGGGATTCTGATGGGGTACGACAGTTGAACTAAGATCATTAGGCATTTTTAAGTTATATTCTTAAAGAATCAATGAGTATTTATCATTAATTTTAAAGTCCAAAAATTTATGTAGTAATCGCTGATTGCTCCTTTAATATCAATACCAAAACAGACTAACAATCCATCCCGTACTTTTTCATTCATCGTCTTGTGGTTTTTCTTGGTCTTTTTCAGAAACTGCTTCAGGCTTCCCGAAGACATGTATTCTGTGATGAAAATGACCTGAGGGTAAAAATAATCATTTCCTGTATAATACATTCAGTTTATTTCTTATTATTAAAAAGGTAGTTATGTCACTGCATTGAGAAGATCTCTTACCCTGGCCCTATTTTCCTTCACGTCGGCCCAGTACTTGTGAAACTTGACAATGTTCAAGTGCTCCAACTGGATCAAGTTGTCAAACACCGCTTTGACTTTCTCCTGATGGACAAACATGAGTAAGAATGTAAAAATAAAATATAAATATACAGTATTTGCAGTCAATCATACCTCAATCATCAACTAATGTGTGTAAATGAGTTCAACACTTCTCTCCAAATGTACATTATCCCTCTTGTAATCGAGAGGTATTACCAGATGCAGTTTAACAACTAAGCTCATTATTACAAACTAAACCCCTTAGCCTGGGTTAATGTCTGATGTGTATCTGCTTACGTGTTTCTTTTCATTGGGATTTTAGTTCAGTGTTTTTGGCCAACCAGCTCTACATTTATTTGATTGTGGCCACATTTGTGATCACCTGGTGCTCAGGAGATTTTTAATAACTAGGGCCTAGATGTCTGACAACTGATGAAAATCCTGACTTTCAAAGGAATGCCGAGAATGTTCTTTCACATATTATGTTGGACAGCATTACAACACAAAGCTCCAACTGCAGACCTGCCAACCTTGACCAATTTTTATGAGCACCCCCGTCCCCGCAATCCCCATGGCAGCGCACGTGCGACACCCACACTGCTCAAATCATAGGCAAATGCAATTTCTTTACGCCTAATAAGGATGTTGGCAGAAGACTGTCTCAGTAGGAACTATAGGCTATAGACTTATGAGTACTTGGTAATCGGCTGCTCTTCAGTAGCTAACTATAAATACATGTAAATGTACAATCAGGGCTCTCCCTAGGAATTTCTGACAAGGTGGTGCTGATGTAGGCCTAAGGTTGGGTAGTGGGAAGATTAAAAAATAAAATATAACCTGTGACAGCCATTTCCTGAAACCTAGAGGGCTCTATTTTAACAAAGCTAACGCAATGGTAAATCTAAGCGCATGCGGTAGAGCTGTAGGTTCAGGGGTGTGTCAGAAATATTTTGGATATTTTCACAATCACAATTATCGGTGCACTTGCTGGCGTTGGCAGCGGTTTTGATGAATAAACAAGTTGTGGATGTGTCGAGGCTTGGCCACTCACTGGCCAATCAGAACATGCTCCATGGCAAAATATGTGGTTGCTTCAAGTTGTGTATTTACGGTCTTTTATGTATTGCCTTGGAATCAACTCCAATTCCAATGTTAATTCCGTTATAGTTTGTTAAATCGCTTACAGAAACTAAATAAAATGCAGAACTATTTTTGCTAAATACGTTAATTTGAACCCATTTGCAGTACACATTGTTCTAAGTAATTGCATGGCTTCAATAGCATTCACACTGATATAGGGGCTAGGCCTACTGTAAATTGCATTATGCCTGAGCATGGACATGCCAAACATTGTCAATAAGCAAGATTGAATTAATTATTGATAAGGCCTAAATACAAAAAAAAAATGTTTGAATCAAACTTGTTTTAAATAGCCTATGTCACACTTACAGGCACCATAATTTCTCCCCGTGGACATATATTAAAACAACGCAGACTGGAGGGTTTTATGCACATCCAAACTTTTCAGAGTAGCTGGACAAAGATCCAATATAAAGAGAAAGGGAGAATGTCCACCATTATACAGCTCCCAAATAGGCCTGTTTTATGAACATAGTCAAAACCATTTCACACATCTCCAGAAGTTGCATTGCAAGCGCGCCACGGACATTGTCATCATAAAACCAGGAAGGTGAATCATTAATTATATTACAACCAAACTTGTTAGAAACAAAAAAGAAGCAATCCGTTGTTTTTTTTATACAACAATAAATACATGTAAAATGTTATAAAAAAAATTGGCAGGCTAAAAAAAAGACACGTATTGCTGTTGAACCAGCCTTCGTATAGTAGGCCTAAGGGAGGGCTTGGATTTTAAACATTTAAAACGGAAAACAAGCCATTTTTACAGGTTACTACTAACTACAAGGTTTACCGGTATTCACCGAGGTTCTCATCTCTCCTTTCATGATGGGCATGGACATGTAGCCTACATCATGGAGAGGGTTTTACGCACGTCCAAAACGGGACCTGCATGGCTAAAACAATGTGGGCCTGCCTACAATGCATAGACAAAAAGGGAACGTGAGCTCACTGTTTTACTCCTCTCAAACTTGAAATGCAATAACACTTTGGTGATAAAAAGTTATTTCCAAGCAGTCTCCGGAGCCAAACCCTTTATCGACAGTCTTTGACTACTTTGCGATTGCATTGGGCAGACAAAAGAAATGCCTTACTTGAGGAGGGGAGGCTATGCTTGGTTTTTAATCAAATAAAACACAACTTTTTTTTATGTTTCTAAAAACAACATATACATGCACCAAAAGCACATTAGGCTACTATTGTTCCATGCGCATATGGGCAGTGTGTGTCATGGCTGGATAGGCTGCGTTTCTGCTGTCAAAATTCATAACCAACACTAGATGACAGAGACTGTTATAGGTTACATTCCAATGTCAAATAGTTTGAAGTTGAAGTTGACTGACTGCAAGGGAACTGACTGACTGCTGTTGCTAGCTAATTTGTCCTGGGATATAAACATTGGGTTGTTATTTTACCTGAAACGCACAAGGTCCTCTACTCTGACAATTAATCCACAGATAAAAGGGTAAACCTAGTTAGTTTCTAGTAATCTCTCCTCCTTCTGACTTTATATGGTGGTTGGCAACCAACTTTAAGGTGCATTACCACCAGCAATTGGACTGGAGTGTGGACCTCAGTTAATCTTTCAATCACCCACGTGGGTATATGCTCCTAAAAACCAATGAGATGGGAGAAGCGGAACTTGCAGCGCGTCAAGCATCAAAAATAGAAGCAAGTTCTATTTTAGCGCCTGGCTACGCAGACGCTCGTTGACGCGAGCAGTTTGGATGAAATGATTGAATAACATGTATGTGTGAATTTATTTTGCAAACGCTCGCACACGTAACGCGAGCGGTGTGGTCAGCATGTTACTGCACGTTTCCTTGCGCGTCAATGCACTCGCGTCTACTACCGTTGTGGAGATGAAAGCATGTGTGGGCAAGAAAGTGTTCTCGATTAGGAGCTAACAACAAAATAATATAGTGGTAATGTGCTGGACAAACACATACAATTTCGGAAAATGTATTTGGTAAACATTTTCCCTCCCCTTTTTCCTTAAACATCAGTGGTATCAACGGACGAAGTAGAGTGCTGCCATCCAGCTCGAGGGAAGAAAATAGTGCCATAGACGGAAGAGGATGCGAGACACCCCACTTAGTTTTTTTCTGGTTCTTTCTGGTTCAATTTAAGTCAATTAACTAAGTAGACCAGACCCAGCTGCTTTCGCATTGGTATCTATGGGAGAGCCACCCGCTTAAGTAGACAGGAACTTACTATTTTTTTTCCCAATGGTAAAGGGCCTGAGTGAACGGTCTTAATGTATCCATCATCTTTGATAGTACTATGTGGGCCGGAGCGGAAAGCTAAAGATTGGATCGGCTCCAACTTCAGAAAGTGGAGTCAAAAAGCACAATGTGCCAACTAGAAGCCTGTTACAGTCGTTTTTCATACCAGCATACTTTGACCTCAAGTTGCGTGCATGATACGCAAAATGTGTGCAGGTTGGCAGGTCTGCAACTACTCAGAATATGATCAGGCCCTTGCCAAGCAAAAGGTAAAGCAAAGGTTAGTACAGAATCTCTGCAAGTCATGCTTTGTCTCTCTGCTTTTTGTAAGGATCATATTCAAAATATTATCCAGCTTTGTCCTTGACCATTCCTAAGCACATGTTAGCTCAGCATTTCTGCAAGTCATGCTTTCTCTCGCTTTTTAAAAGGAGAAGAAAAAACTAAAAAAACTAAAAGGGAGCTCATCCTACTCAAAGCTCAGCCTGTGTTCAACAGACGACGGCACAGCATGTTAACATGAAGAACAGAAGGCAGACTACACTGTCTGAGCCAGCACACTGACACAAGCGCCAACCAGACTGCTCAGAGCTTAGAGACAGTCACAGGGTGGAACACTGCCAAGAACAAGGTTGTTTTCATTCGGCACCAAACAGAGAAAGAGCGAAACAAGGAGGGACCACCACCTGTTGTCCAATAAGAAACGCAACATTTTGTTTCCTGTCTGGTAGTTATTTTCTGTTGTGCGCCCTTATGAACGACCAGGCCACAGAAAAGGGTTTCCAACACCTAGGGCTCTATTTTAACAAACCGAACGCAACGGTAAATCTAAGAGCTTGCAGGAGTGCTATAGGTCCAGGTGTGTGTCAGAAATATTTTGGGTATTTCCATAGTCGGAATTATGAGCGCAATAGCTGGCCCTGGCACAAAAGGGCTGTTTTTTATGAATAAACAATTTGTAGGTGTGACGAGGGCGTTCCCTCTTACTGGCCAATCAACACGTTCCATGGCTTAATACCGCATGTCTCAACTTCTGTAGGTTATTGACGGTCTTTGCATTGTCATCAACTCCAATTCGGCTTGGGGCACAGAATATTCTCGTCCTGGTCCATTGTGTATTGATACTACAGTTTAGTAAATAGCATAGGCTACAGTAACGAGTAATAGCAACAGTAAAAAATATAGATATAGTGTTTGCTCAATAGCCTATGTTTGGAGTGTTGGCAGTCAATATTGTTGTAATTTGCTTCAACAAGCCTAGCCTACACGTCTTTGAGTCAGCAGCATACCATCCTGCATCCCACTGCTGGCTTTCCTCTGAAGCTAAGCAAGGTTGGTCCTGGTCAGTCCCTGGATGGGAGACCAGATGCTGCTGGAAGTGGTGTTGGAGGGCCAGTAGGAAACAATCTTTCATCTGGTCTCCAGGGCAGTGGTTGGGAACATTGCCCTGGGTTGGGTGCCGTCTTTTGGATGGGACGTTAAACGGATGTCCTGACTCTCTGTGGTCATTAAAGATCCCATCGCACTTATCGTAAGATTAGGGGTGTTAACCCGGTGTCCTGGCTTAATTCCCAATCTGGCCCTCTTCCAATTGGCTCATTCATCCCCCCTCCTCTCCCCTGTAACTATTCCCCAGGTCATTGCTGTAAATGTGAATGTGTTCTTAGTCAACTTACCTGGTAAAATAAAAGGGTAAAATAAACATAAAAATGAATCAATTTACTCATTGCACTTCTCCTAAAATACTAAACTGCCGTATTGTGAGGCACGTTCTTAATAAGCAAAATATAGCCTAGGCCTACCGTTTGTTGGGGAATACACGTATTTGACTGAATTGTTTAATATTAATAGTTAACAATTAATATGCTTAACAATAGTAGAGACATTTCTTAACTACCAATGCTGTGCTTTTCATAAGGAGGGGCCCCTCTAGCTTCCTGCAGCTGGTCTGGGTATGTCAAGGACATGGGATGGAGATAAAACTTCAGGAACAGATAGACCTGTATAGTTTCTCGTTGCTTCAGAGTAACCCGGTCACACGGTTAAAACAAAGAGCCTCAGAGTGACCACAGTTTTTCAGTTAATCCTGTATTTTACTAATTTAAAAAAAAAATTATAAGGGCACAGCTGTGTAGAGATATGGGCAGTGACGGAGCTAAAGTTATCACTTGTTTGTGCGCTATGACTTGATACACATAGCCACAGGAAGAGAACAAGATGGCTCCTGATCTGCCCGTGGGGGGGGGGGGGGGGGGCTGTTGTGCCCTTGGGCTGAATATAATAATTATAATTCCCTTTCCCCGACTGCGTGATCCGAAGCACCTCTCACTCACATGGCTCTCTCAGATATCTCAATTCTTATTAGCTAATCCCAGTCACGTGATCGGGTCCTTCTCATAGGCTACAAGTGAAGACAGACACGTCGGGGACGCAACTGCACGCGTCCTTATCGAATTCCGAGGCGCATATCGAAGATGTTGGAAGAACTGTCCACATTTACTTTTTGTCAGCCAACAAGATGAGTAGGCCTAACGAACAGCAAAAGCACTAGCCTATGTCAATCTACTATCCCGCATAGTATAAAAGTTGACCTATTCTATTCTGTGAGAGAAATAAATATTCCAAGCATAGTCTGGGACAATTATGGGATGCGATGGATCCAAAATTAATACAACCACTAGCAAAAGATCAGAAGACTTAGCCTATTAGTTTATCAACATTTTAAGCTAAGTCTTCATATTATAAAAGCACAGCAATGCGCAGACGGCAGTAGGCTATAAGCGTGAATGTTCCAAAATGCAATCAATTCGTGGAAAACACTATTCTCAAAAGTGACCGCAAATGCTATTATGCATGTAATGCTTTTATTATAAAAGGTGTATTTTTTTGGTGAAGATTATCTTCCCCAAATTTGAAACTCAAGCGCAGCGTATGTATGCCAGTTAGGCTCTACACCCATTGTAAAGCGGATTAATGTGCTTAATTTTAAGAAGTTATTTGGCCACTTTAGTTGTGATACAAACCTTATCAAAACATATAGGCCTATGGGCTAGGCTACATGAGGTGTGCAACTGATTTCAAAAAGTCGCAAAACAAGGCATGCACTGTTTCTTGCCTTACTGCACAGAAGCTGGGTATCATTCACAAGTGATAATATATAATTCACAAGTGATAGGCTAATAGTCACCCATCAGACAATTCTTGATGTAATCTTGTCTTAATGTGTGAAATTTGTTTTGATTTACAATGGACCATTATCATGCACCTGTATCGAAACAGGGGCAAGGGGGGAAAAATGCATGTCATCTATTCACTTAAATAGCGAATGGAGGATGCTATTCCCATGGGGCATTTTCATGCCAGCCAGGTAGCCTATACTCCTGTTGTAAAGAGAAGCAACGTGCTTAATATTAGATAAGTTGAGAAATAAATATAGTACGCCTAGCCTATAGAAATCTGATGGGATCCTCCTCTTTTTAATAGAGCCCATCAAAACTCTGTTTTGGCACAATTGCATAGCCTATAGAAATGTTGCGCAACATGAGCTCATGGGCACTCATTAAGTATTTGATTAGATTTTCGAACATTTGCATAGATGTCAAAGTGATCAGAGGGACAATGGAGTGCTGAGTACCAGGTAGTTAGCAAGTTTGGTAGGCTACTAATGACCATCAGCAGCATCAGAGCTTGGAGAAGCCTAATTACCCTGACTAAACAGTCACATGGAATTTGACTGCCGTCATGACTCGTGACCGCCGGTGTGGCGGTAATACGATCACCGTAACAGCCCTAGTCAGAAGCATGATATTATAAATCGATTATCTCGTTCCATGGCACTGTGTGCATACGTAGGCTTAAATGTCTTTACGCATAACATCCGCACGTCTATACAAAATACTAGGCTCCTGTCAAATGTGTCATTGCCTATGTGCGAGGCAGATTCTCCAAAAAATCTGCTTTTGATATGGCATTATAGGAGGATTGAATAGTTTGGAGGAACGTGTCTCTGGTAATCGGAAGAGGGGCGCTGTTTGAAAATGTGGATGATAGTCTACTTGAAGAAGCGAAATGAAGTATGCAGGTATGTGAATACTGAATAATGAAAAAGCATGAGGGCAAAAACCTCAAATATTTCAAAGTTACTTGGCTAACGGCCAGGATAACAAGACGCACCTGTGCGATGCTGCTAAACCAGCTTTGATTAAGGGGAGGGTTGGCTATGCTTGGTTTTTAATCAAATTAAACAAAATGGGGGGAAACCAATCTTTTTTTAATGTTTCTAAATACAAGATCCACCAGCACAAAAGGCACATCTCTCGTTCCATGGGAACTATTCGTCATGGCTGGACAGGCTGCATTTCCGCTCTCAAAATCCATGCCATTATCAACTGCGTTACCGGTAAGACCTGCTTTTTGTGGGTCTTAAAACGTCCCATTTGCGCTGCATGAAAGTCACTTTTGCGCTTGTTTTTAAGGACACGCCTCAAATATTGCCACCCCTTTCACCTTAGTGCAAGCAAGCTAATGATAGAAAGGTAAATTGCCAAACCTGGCGTTGTGGCTGGAAAATGCCAGTGTGCCAGTTTTTACATTGCAAACTAACGTGCAATTGACACTTGTGCCTCCTTAGCACCAGCTGAAAATAGGGCCCCTAATGAGGTGCAAGAGGATTATGCAACAACCTTTGTGTCAGTTTCTATGAACGGTTTTATTAACACTTTGTACAGAGAGTGTACTTTGCATTTGTGAGATATGGGTCGGAACACTTTGCCTAAGGAGCTTAGGGCAAGAAGAAAACTAATATTGATTTACCTCTGCATGGTGCTGATGAGCATCAAGCCAGGAATGCAGTGCAAAGAAGAAAAACTAACAGAACGCGATCTCCTACTTTTAGGATCTGGGGCTGTACGTATCAAGTGTCTCAGAGTAGGAGTGCTGGTTTAGGATCAGTTTTGACTTTTAGATCACAATAAATACAATTACACAAACACCAGGGACTTGATCTTAGATCAGCACTACTCCATTGAGACACTTGCTAAATACGGCTCTGCCTACATAGACCAACAAATTCTGCAAGTCAATGTGAACATCAAAATGAACTTCCAACAGGTAGCTAGTTTTGAGAGGATGCCAGCAGTCCAGGGGTAGTAGCCTTAACCCTGTCATTGTGATATCATAATGGCCTGTAACTATACATCACATAATGCCCTACCATTGTGAGCTGTCAAACTGTGAGCTGTGATGACCAATCTTTGACATCACAAAGAGCATTGTTTCCACTGTGAGCTGTCAAGCTGTGATGATGGATCATTATGTAATCACAAACAGCAAAGTTTCCATTGTGAGCTGTCAATGTGTCAAATGTGTTTCTAACTGATCATTATGACATCACAAGGTTCTGTTGCAGCTTAGCCCTGGCTGAGAACCCAACCCACCTCCTGCAGTTTGAAGTTCTTCCTCTCTGAGAACATGACCTCATTCCACACCACCTCCACGCCCTCCTCTGTGTCCATGGCCAAGTAGGCATTGTCAATTCCAGGGACATTGCGCTGGTTCACCTAAATCGAGAACGAAAGTGTTGAATTCAACTAATAATCTCCATCGGATTCAAAACAGTTAGATGTGTAAAACAACAAGTAAAATATTTTTGGGGCAAAGACACTAAAAACACAAACAGTAAGCAATGTTCCTGTCTCCAGCTCACGTTCATTGCATACCTCCTCTCTCCGTTTCTGCCAGCGTCCGCATGGGCTCTCCTCCAGAATCTCAGACTCGTCTTCGCTCTCCTCATCCTCTGTCGCCGTTGTGGCAGGGGGGTGTGTCACAGTTGATACTGGAGGGGACACACTCTGCTCGGTGGAGGCAGAGACCACAGACTCTGCTTTCCCCTCCTGGACAGGGTCCGAAGCCTGCAACCCTTCTCCCTCTGACATCTTGTCAGACTTGGCTGCCTGCTGCAAAAACAGACAAATTGTAGACTCAAAGGCTTCATGCATCATTGCCAGATGACTAAAATGTATTGTACACACACACAACACAATATTTCATTGCCACGCTGGATATTTATACATTTCAATGGCTGAGGTTCTCTCTCAAATTGAGTTGAATTTAACTAGCTACGTTGTTTTGCTTCAACAGGGCTGAACCTGATATGGCTCACGCACCTGATAGGACTTGCTAGCTGACCGCTTATTTTAGACATTAATTCATTCAAATAAACTAGCTAGTTAGGGCTAGTCCAGGCAGAGCTAGCGTAGCAAGGCCCAGTCATTGGTTTATAATTTAGCCAAAGACAGAAGAGGAAGCCCCACTGGCTGTTTTTTTCTGGTTCAATTAAAGTCAATGAACTAAGTAGACCAGCTCCAGCTGCTAGTGCATTGGTGTCTATCGGAGACACTCCCAGTTAAGTACACCGGAACTGACAATTTTTTTAAATGGTAAAAGACCTGAGTGAATCATCTTCATTTATCCACCATCTTTAGTTTAGTTTGCCATCTAAAATGGCTATCATAGTTAGCTACCTAGCTAACTTGAGTGATGTTGCCAGCTCCGTATTAGTAGACTCCAACTCCAAACTTCTGTTGAATCCTTGTGGAAATACGATTTGCTAGCAAGCTCTTCAACAGACGCACTTCCCTGGCTCCCAGCTAACGCATCTAGCTAGCTAACTTGGCTAGTTTAGTTAACGTTATATCCGCTAGCTATGTAGCCACCGGTTATTGTCAGGATCTGCCGGATTAAGTCCTACATTGAACAAAAGCATAATCCACATGAAATCGTTTTTTATATCCCAATTATAAAGCAATAGGTTACTATGAACCGACGTTTACACGGCTGATAAAATAATGGCAACATACATGCACTGATTTACAGCCACTACAAAAATAATCAAAAACGAGACGGCAGTGGGCGTGGATTGCCTACCACGTTGTTTTCTTATTCGGTGAGAGTCTAGAATGACATTTTATAGGACGAATCATGGTACCAATCATTAATATATGCTACTTGCTTGGCCAGAGATACCGTTGTCGTTCTAGTAAACCACTCCTACATTAGGAGACGAAACAAAATATTTGTCATACATGCATTATGTTTAATCGCCACGAGAGGTCCGTATAGGGCTCATTGTGGGTGAGGCCGGAAACTGATAAGTGGTCCAGTGGTCGAAGTATGTGACATTTGGTTAGTAGGCAAACGGAAGTGTCCTCCCTCCTCGATAGGCACCTGTCATCGAGGACACTCATGTGTATCCTACCACGGAAGAGTTTTGAAATCAAAACTGTAGGAGCAGTCAAAACCGAGCTTCTAGACCGGAACCCTGGCCCCTTGGTTCAGTCTCCTCGCCGACTCTCCTTGATTACATTTGACCTTTTTCAAAAGGAGGTGAGCGAGGAATGCAGGAGAGAGGACGCAGGAGATGAGCAAATCTAATTGATAAAAGGCCAATGGTGTGCAGGAATGTAGTGCTGCAGTAGCACAGGGGAGCATTGCTCCCTCATACAAAAAAAAGGAGAACACATGGAGCTGGTATTCTCAAATTTATACATTCTAAATACATCATATTTAATTACCACTAAAATTTCATGAAAACAATAGAATGACAAACTAAGTAAATATGTAGGCTATAGCAGCTTATAGGTAGTTAAATTGTGGTTTCTTCCATCCCTTCCCTCTTGTCTTTCTCTGGTGGTAGCAACTAACTGTAAGTGTGTGCAGAAGCCCAAGGGTCAGAGGCTTGACCACTTTGAGCGGGCCAAATCCGTCATAATAAGAACTGCCACTGTTCTCAAACCAGTTTCTTATGGACTTGGGGCTCAGGTATGACATACTTGAACTCGCCCTTCTGTCCGAGTGCTTAGCTTACAGAAAAGGCCTACCACCTCTATTGCGTATGCAGACAAACTGATCCACCGCATGAACCTTATCATCACACCAACGAGATCTAGGATCCAAATTCACTGAGTATATATATATATATATATTTGACCACTGGTTTACAGTGCTGCCCCCCCCCCCCCCCCCAGTTTTATCATTGGAATGTGATACAAAACTGGGCAACAGTGTGCTTTAGGACCATGCGGACGCCTCCGAGTGGTCGGGTAGCCTTTTTGGAATGTTTATCCGACTGGATTAAAAAATAATAATAATATGTCCCCCCCACTAATAAAACCAAAGTTGCGCCCCTGAGTCCTACTCATCACTTATTATTATTATTATTACAAATACAAGAATATCACTTCTCACAATGGTGCTCATTTAGTAAAGTTAGATCAAAGCAGAATCAATGTCTTGCAAGATCACATAATGATTCATTTGTATTTTACATAACAGAACCGAATACAGTGTATACTGTAGCATAAAAGGACTATAATATGTTACACCAAAAACACCTCCTCAGTCACTTCTTATCTGAAGCTGAATACTGGTAGTCCATTTTTTCTCCTCATGCGGCCAAAACTCAACAGCGCGCGCCACTAGGCAGGATATATTATTTGATTGAAACAAAATAGGCCTACAAGAAAGGCTTATAGTTTGTTAACACCATCTGCTTGATTAGTGCACAGTAATTCAAGAAGATCTAAATACATATTCCCATTAAACTGATTAAGATCAGATGATTGGCATGCAGTTTGGACATTTCACCAGTAAAATGTGAATAATTATAATTCACGATTGACAGATACGGCCTATTTTGAAATTAGGCATGCCTAACTTAGTGTTTAGGACTATTGAAAATATAACATTTTCTTGAGACTATAGGCAGAAGTTGCAATTGGAGGATGCATTTTATGCATAGGCATATTCTACAATGATATTCAATAGCCTACATCTGTCAGTACAATCTTTGATTGAGAAATTAAGACATAATTCACCCCCCAAAAAATTGCAGGGTGGGTTTGGCGGATGCCAGAAGAACGCTACCTGCCTGAATGCATAGTGCCAACTGTAAAGTTTGGTGGAGGAGGAATAATGGTCTGGGGCTGTTTTTCATGGTTCGGACTAGGCCCCTTAGTTCCAGTGAAGGGAAATCTTAACGCTACGGCATACAATTTACATTTACATTTTAGTCATTTAGCAGACGCTCTTATCCAGAGCGACTTACAGGAGCAATTAGGGTTAAGTGCCTTGCTTAAGGGCACATCGACAGATTTTTCACCTAGTCGGCTCGGGGATTAGAACCAGCGACCTTTCGGTTACTGGCACAACGCTCTTACCCACTAAGCTACATCCTAGACAATTCTGTGTTTCCAACATTGTGGCAACAGTTTGGGGAAGGCCCTTTCCTGTTTCAGCATGACAATGCCCCCATGCACAGAGCGATGTCTATACAGAAATGGTTTGTCGAGATCAGTGTGGAAGAACTTGACTGACCTGCACAGAGCCCTGACCTCAACCCCATCGAACACCTTTGGGATGAATTGGAACACCAACTGCGAACCAGGCCTAATTGCCTAACATCAGTGCCTGACCTCACTAATGCTCTTGTGGCTGAATGGACGCAAGTCCCCGCAGCAATGTTCCAACATCTAGTGTAAAGCCTTCCCAGAAGGCAAAGGGGAGGGCAAAGGGGGGGGGCAATTCCATATTAATACCCATGATTTTGGAATGAGATGTTCAACCAGCATTTAATGAGATGTTCGACGTATTTTAACAATTTAGCAGTCTTATGGCTTGGGGGTATAAGCTGTTCAGGAGCCTTTTGGTCCCAGACTTAGCGCTCTGGTACCATTTGCTGTGCGGTAGCAGAGAGAACAGTCTATGACTTGGGTAGCTTGAGTCTTTGACCATTTTTAGGGCCTTCCTCTGACACCGCCTTGTATAGAGGTCCTGGATGGCAGGAAGTTCGACCCCTGTGATTTACTGGGCTGTACGCACTACCCTCTGTAGCGCCTTGCAGTCGGATACCAAGCAGTTGCCATACCAAGCGGTGATGCAGCCAGTCAAGATGCTCTCAATGGTGCAGCTGTAGCACCTTTTGAGGATCTGAGGACCCATGCCAAATCTTTTCAGCCTCCTGAGGGGAAACAGGCGTTGTCGTGCCCTCTTCAAGACTGAGTTAGTGTGTTTGGACCATGATAGGTCCTTAGCAATGTGGACGCTGAGGAACTTGAAACTCTCAACATGCTCCACTACAGCCCTGTCGATGTAAATGGCGGCGTGTTTGGCCCTACGTTTCCTGTAGTGTATGAGTGTGGTTTGGAAGGAATGTTTGGTATTGCGAGTGACCCCAGCATATAAAGGAACTGAGATTGAGAGGAAAGCACGGGGAAGGAAGAAGGGACGTTTCTCAGGGCTGTTTTGCAAGTTCATGTTTTTGCATTGACATCTCAAAGGAATCCTCACTTTCAGTAATTTGCACTTTTGACTAAAGGTTGAAACAGTTCTAGAATCACATGCAGCTGAGACTCTACAACAGGCAGGCCCCACCACAGTAACGATGGACACGCCATGGGGCTGACAGCGAGAGATTAGAGAGAGAACTGGGATGTCATAGTCCCATATGGAGGGGGCCTTGGATGGAGGGGAGGTGCCAACCATTGAGGAGGAGAAGGTGAGACGGGTCTTCAAGAGAGTGAAATCCAACAAAGCACCCGGACCAGACAAAATCAAGGGACAGCTACTGAAGGAATGCTCCGATGAGGCAGACATCTTCTGCACTCTCTTTAACAGCTCCCTCTCAGAACATATGGTTCCTTCACTCTGGAAGACCTCTGAGATCCGACCCGAAGAACCATCCAGCGGAGCTGAATGACTATCGTCCTGTGGCGATTAACGTCAGTCGTTGTGAAGTGCCTTGAGCGCTTGATACACACACATCTCAGGTCTCATGTGGATGGACATCAGTGGAGGATGCAGTCCTGATGGTGTTGCACAGGGCCGTGACACACCTGGAGAGGCCTCACTCTTATGTGTGCATCCTTTTCCTGGACTT